GGGTTTCCCTGGGCAGGGAACATGTGGCCCAAACAGTCAGGCACTTTATTTCATTCTTTAATATTGGTTTAATACTTATGTTTCTCTATACGTGTATATATATCTCCTCAATATTTATTCCACTCTATATGCATCCGAAGAAGTGGGCTGTAGTCCACAAAAGCTTATGCTCTAATACATTTGTTAGTCTCTAAGGTGCCACAAGTACTCCTGTTTAATACTTCGACTACTTCAAGCTGAAGCGGGGCATGTTCAATCTGAGGTACGACACCCATTATTTGACAATCAAGCCCCTTTAACTCCTCTCGGGCGGGCACCTCGCACAGGCTCTTGTGCGGAGCTGAGCCTGAGTCTCTCCCGCTGAAACGCGGCTTCTCTTTTACATGCACTTCCCCTGCCTGCCATCGCCGGGCACTGGGGCTCTCCCACAGGAAGCGGTGCCCGCTCTCTGCGAGCCACATCCAGCACAACCCTTCGGCCCGGGCAGGCGGCTCTTCCCACCCACGCCTCCTCCTGCTGTCATTCATCCCCATGTGACTGCCGGGCCGCGGGGCTGCCCGCGCGCCAGTTCCTGGGCTCCTCCGGCCGCTGCTCCTTCGCTCCGCGGCCGGCGAGACGCGCCGCCAGCCTGAGGAGAGGCCGGGCTCGGGGCGGGAGCCTAGGCCGGTTAGTGTCTCGGGGAGCTGCGCGGATCGGACCGGCCTGGGAAGAGTCCGTGGCTGCTGCGGCGCCCCGGAGAAGAGAGCCCGCGAGGGCTCCCCCAGTAGGTGCAGTGATTGTGTGGGGAGAGCAGGAGCAACCCTCCGAAACGAGTTGGGGGAGCCGGGGGTGAGGGCGCAGGTTGTCGGAGGGAGCCTGGGGCGGCCTGAGTAAGGCGGCAGGGGGGAGGGAAGCTGGGGGAGTTATTGGGAAATCGCCTGGAGCAGAGCGGGGAGTAGGAGCACCTGGGTAGCCTTCCCCAGTCTGCTGCCATCTCCTTTAGCCGATCTGTCTGCCTCAGCAGCTGTTAGTCTCCCCGGCTGCGCTCGCCATCCCGTGCAACTGTGGGGGTGGCCTAAGAGACCACTCACGCCAAAGTCAGCCCCGGAAAAAGGTGCAAGAGGCCCGTGCAGTGCAGATAGCACCAGCCACCTCTGTAAAGTGCTTTGAGAGTGATGTCAGAAAAATCCCACTTACAGCAAGAACTAGGTACTGTAAACACTCAGGGCTTGTGTGAAAGTCCACTTTGCTGTAAATTGCACCAAATCCAGTTTATCTAGCTCAAAAGGATAAAGGGCTCCCACTCAGTCAGGCCTGCCAACCTTTGAATACGTGGTTCCAGAGTGGGGTGTTGGTATGTGAAACCAGATGTTTAGATCCCCAAAGCCACCCCTGCTGATGCATCTCAACTTACTGAGCTTAATAAAGAATGGAGTGCAGACTCAGGTAGTTGTTCTGTCGTCCATTGATTATTTTTATAATGGTGCATATTCCTAAACCACCAATGCATTGTTTAAAGGTTTTACTGTGGACTCATGCCAGGTTGCATGTTTATAGATTCTTGCAGTGCAACTTTTCTTCCATCCCTCTGTCTTAGCCACTTACCGAGTAATAATGTCGTTGCTTGAATGGGACTATCCCCCTCATTGTCTAAGCGTTGACTCCATGTAGTCATTTGCTTTCATTTTGAACTGGAATAAAATACTACCATTCTCATTTGGTAGCATTTTAAACCCTCTTTGCACAGGAGGAAGGTATTACCCAGGTACCAGGCTGTGAAGGACTTAACTATGATTTCCGTTTTGGACCAAGGGAATTGGAAGGTTTCATTTTCTTTCATAATGGTTTCATTTTCTTTTCTTTCAAAGGTGTGATGCCACCTAAAGGGCGTGGAAAAAGCAAGCTCCCTGTTCCCCTTCCCAAAGGAATGATAATGAAAGACACTGAAGGAAAGGAGTGGAGGTTGGGCAATATAATTGGCCAGGGAGGATTTGGATTGATCTATTTAGGTAAAGCACCAGTGTTAATGACAAGAGTATTTCTGTGAGTGTCTATACTACTTTATCCTTTAAAACAAAATGGTTTAAAAAAAGAAAAAAGAAACAGCAAGAGGTGCCAGAATGTGTTTCACTATCTTAAACAGCGCTCAGGTTGAGAAGTTTTGCTGAAGGAACTGCATGATTCTTTCCTAGATTGTTCAGAGTACTGTTTGTATAACAGAGTGAAGGATATACCTTGGGCACATGTGGGGCAATACTTGAGTAGAAGATTGCCAGAGAGCACCAATAGTAAGTGCTGTAGGATATGGTGATTCAGTATGTGGCAGTAACTCTCTTGAGTCAGTACTGATCCAGTGCTCCAAAGTGCTGTTGGGGGCATTGGCTGTTGAAGGTGCCATCTTTCAGCTGAGACATAAAATCAAGATACAGAGCTTTTGGTCATTAAATAACCAATTACACATTTTATAACAATAGTAGTATTAACTTTGGTGCTATGTATGAATTAAAGCCACACTTTTTCCAGAGTTTCAGCTGAAAATGGTATTCTTCACTTGTCCAAAATTGCATAGTATAGCTGCATGCTCTTCAACAGATGCTATATTCTATCCAGAGGTAGCTGCTTTTCAGTGGGGAATAAGTGAGTCTGATAAATAGTTTGTAAAACACTTTGGGATCATTTATATATACGTGTAAATTACTAATGTTGGTCTCTATAAAAGAGAAAAATCTGTTTACAAGGCAGCATGATGGACTTTTCCTGTACCACACACATGCAGAATAAATATGGGAACTAGTCTACAATGAAAATCTGTCAGGAACTACGTTGAGCTTGTACTGAGACAGCAGTGAAGAATTAGTCCTGAATAGCAACATCAGTACAACCCATCATCCCTAAAGGCAAACATGCTCTTCTTAAGTTAGATAGCGATATGTTAACTAGTGTTTCCAGACTTGGGGTATTAATATTCAAAACCTGCTTATCAAGCCACTTCAATACATGGATTGAATGTGCATTGCACATAAAAAGATCTGTTGTAACTTTTTAATTTTTCTCCATTTATTTTGTCATGGAAAGTGTAATTGTTTGGGGTTTTTTTGGCATCCATTCTTTGTGTCACTTCTTTATTTTCTATTTTCCACTCTTTTTGTTTATGTGCTATGACATTTAGCTCATACAAATTGCTTTGTCAGAAGACGATATGCTAATACGTTTGGGGACAGCACAAGCTTTCCTTGTTGCATGGTTTCTAGACCACTGGAACAAGTCAGTTTTTCATTAGAACAAGCACCATATACAAAATGACTTATTTCTCAGTTCTTTTGTCTTTTTAACTGCAACTTCTTGTGCATGGGTGGATCCTCTCTGCCCATGCAGAGCTACACTGGAAGCAGAAGCACAGGAGTTTGCCCACATGGAGAAAATTGCAGGACTGGAGCCTTGGTGAATGTGGAACAAGTTTTTACTTTCTGTAGAAGGACTTATGGGTGTTTGTTGCATCCTATTCAGCCATAAATATAGGCATTTGATGTGCCACTGTTTTCTTGATAATAGATGCAGTACTGTCTCTTGCATTTTTTCTGTTCCATCTGTCAGGCAATGTCCTTGTTCCATTTATTTCCTTTGCTGCTCAGGAACAGCTGGGACTGAGCTGAATTCCTCCATATTTTTTCCTTGTGTTTGGTGTGGTGAAGCACAGAGCTGAATAGTGACTGTGCACAGTCATGAAAACCCATATTTTACTTCTTGGAGACTGGTTCTACCTGAGGACTGGTATGTTAGTGCTCTAAATAAAATGGATGCCTTCAAACCCTACTGTACCATCAGCAATGGTGGTTGTAAATTATAGCAATCATCAATCTGATCTGCACACTCTGATATCTACAATTTCAGTCACAAGAAACTGAAAAGAAAAACTATGAACAAGACTGCCATTAACCAAGATGTCCTGCTTTCTAGAATGGAAAAGAGGATGGCATCCATTCCACTGTATGGCTCCATAGAGGAGAGGAGGAGAGAAAGAGATGATTTCAAATACCACTGCTTCTGATTGCTCTCCATACAGTCAGACCTGTACCACTTGCCAATCATTTAAGCATACAGAGACAAACTAATATGTGCTTGACGCTTCTCCAAAAGATGCCCAGTTTAATCCACATTAAGACACATTTCACCCCAGTCCTTTGCTTCCCTGTGTATTCCATTAGTAAAAGAAGAAGCAGGCAAACTCTGCTTTAATCCACCTGTGTCCAATAATATTCTCTCTAAATATTAATCTTTCTTAATACACTCTTTTCGGAGGTGCTTGATCAGCATCTGTTGCTCAAGGCCAAGAAAAGAAAAAAAATCCGAGTTGTCATCTCTCTGTCTCATTCCAGTCTATAGAATTCTATTCATAGGGTGAGATCAGTAACCAAGGCCCCTCAGAAATGTGCAATCACAGAAGAGGTGAGGGACAGAGCAGTTCTGATATTTACATTTTTCTTTTGATGTACGTGATATGTTTTACGGACTTCTCTTAAACATCAGTCAGTTGCCTTGGAGAGATCCTATGTCTAGAGCCAGAGGTAGGCAACCTATGGCACGCGTGCCAAAGGCGGCACACAAGCTGATTTTTCAGTGGCACTCTCACTGCCTGGGTCCTGGCCACTGGTCCAGGGAGCTCTGCATTTTAATTTAATTTTAAATGAAGCTTCTTAAACATTTTAAAAACCTTATTTACTTTACATACAACAATAGTTTAGTTATATATTATAGGCTTTTAGAAAGAGACCTTCTAAAAACGTTAAAATGTATTACTGGCACGTGAAACCTTAAATTAGAGTGAATAAATGAAGGTTATTTTAGAGGGCTTGGCACACCACTTCTGAAAGGTTGCCGACCCCTGATCTAGAGCATATATAGGAAGCATTACCAGAGAAAATATACCCCAGCATGAGCAATGGAATGAAGTCAAGGTGCCTCCTGAAATTGTTAGTCAAGGATTATTTGTTGGGAGGGGAGGAAAAAGAAAGTAATGGAAGGAGGGTGGAAATGGAAACTTACAAAAGTTCCCACAGAGAAGTGAGAATGATTCATGGAACTCTGATGTAGTGATGAGGGGAAACTGAAGTGAGAATGTGGTTTCATTTGTTATAACAACACTTTTCTCCGATGGAACCCAGATTATTCTCGTAGGGCACATGTTTAGAACATCTGGTGCAACAGTGAACAAGGAATAATTCAGTGTAAGTAATTCTCAGTCTACAACAAAAAAACATTAATTGTGTACCAAATCTACCAGGGTATTTCCTGTTACCGGAAAACCGTACAAGACCTTGTAAATGGTATATCGCATGGAGATTGGTACATGTTTCATGCAGTTTTTACTGGTTTTCTTTCTGACCACACAGACCACAGAAGACTTCAACTATTGTGGTGTATTGTTGTTTGAATCCCACCACGCTGAGGCAGAGAGCAGCCAGAGGAGTAGTATGGAATGATAGTGCAATCTAGGGCTCTTGTATATTTCAGTTTTGTGTTCCTGATGAGTATAGCAGGAATAGCCGGAAAAAATACAGCTGTTTGTTAGAATTTTTGCAAAAGTCGTTGTTGTTTACCTCTGCTTTCTCTCAGAAGGGAGACTTGGTACTGGATATGGCACTAAATTGGAGGCTTGGTTCCCCTTGTAACGCAGAAATTAGAAAGAGGAACATAACAGATTGACTCAGCAGTGCATAACTAACTCATCTGAAATAGGAAATGGATCAGACTTATCAGCAAAGATTAACTCTGTGCTGTAAAGAAAGGTCCAAAACAAGGAAGCTTATTTCTTATTCATTATGACTAGGCCCCTATCAAATTCACGGCCATGAAAAACGTGTCGCGGATTGTGAAATCTGGTCTTTTGTGTGCTTTTACCCAATACTATACAGATTTCATGGGGGAGACCAGTGTTACTCAAATTGGGGGTCCTGACCCAAAAGGGAGTTGCGGGGGGAGGTGTCATAAGGTTATTTTAGAGGGCTTGCAGTATTGCCACCCTTACTTCTGCTCTGCCTTCAGAGCTAGGTAGTTGGAGAGCGGCGGCTGTTGGCTGTGCACCCAGCTCTGAAGGCAGCGCCTCGCCAGCAGCAGCACAGAATTAAGAGTGGCAATACTATACTATGCCACCCTTACTTCTGTGTTGCTGCCTTCAGAGCTGGGCAGCCAGAGAGTGGTGGCTGCTGACTGAAGGCCAAGCTCTGCAGGCAGCAGTGCAGAAGTAAGGGGGGCAATATCATACCATGCCATCCTGACTTCTGCGCTGCTGCTGGTGGTGGCTCTGCCTTCAGAGTTGGGCTCCTGGCCAGCAGCTGCCGCTCTCCGGCTGCCTGGCTCTGAAGGCAGCGCCACTGCCAGAAGCAGCACAGAAGTAAGGGTAGCTGTACCGCAACCCCCCTTACAATAACCTTGCAACACCCACCCCCCAACTTGTTTTTGGGTCAGGACCCCTACAATTACAACACCATGAAATTTCAGATTTAAATAGTTGAAATCATGGGAAATTTATGATTTTTAAAATCCTATGACTGAGAAATTGACCAAAATGGACAGGCATTCTGTCTGAAATAACGCCAGCCAGCTGCTCAGTTTGGGCCTAATTCTGCAAAGATTTGAGCACTCTTTAATCCCATTGTCTTTAGTGGTGTTCAGGAGTTCTGAACACTTCACATGGTCAGTTCCTTAGAAGGACATACTAATGAATAAGTACTAGGTCTCTTTTAGGTAGTCCTGTGTCTGAGATATGTCTTTTTTCACCCCCTTCTTGAGAGGAATAGAGTTCTGTTCATATATATATTGCTCTATGTTGTGGAGTGACTACTATACTTGAAATGTGGAGCTAATCCAGAGGAAATTCTATAGAACTGAACAAAATGGGCCACACAGTGGGATATGCTAGGTTTGAATGTCTGCAAAATGTGAACAGCACAGCTATTTTATAAAAATGAAGGTTAATTTTGCTGGCTGTATCTTTTAATAAGTAGTTTTA